TATATTTTATTGAATAAAAATGTTGTAGTGGTAACCCGTAAAAGTATCAAAAGTAAGTACGGTTGCACAAGGGGATGGAAGGGGAGGGTAAGGGGAAAAAAAGGGGGGTTGGTAAAAAGAAAAAATTACGATCGTTAGGTACTCAACGAACGAGAGTAATACATAAACTTCTTCGTTTCTTGCGGCATGCATAAAACATATTTTTGCGACGTCAACTTTAACGATATACCCAACTACCACCACCACCACCACCATCACCAGCACCACCAGCATCAACATCAACCCTTGCAACAGTTTCTACGACTACTATTACTTAAGTTTTATTTCAGCAACGATTTTAAAATTTACCTCTGAAAGTTACTACAAGAAATTCAAGCTTTATTTAAGTCATCATTTTTTTTTTTTTTTTTTTTAACAAAAGTTATTTTTTGCGTAAGTGCGTACGTGATTATTATTCGTTTGCTGAATAAATAAAAGAATTTTTTTTATAATATAGGAGTATAAAAATAATTAAATTGTAACAAAAATATTTGTTTAATTTATGTTAAATATATTCAATTATTATTATTATTATTTCACCAATTATTTTCCTTAAAATATCCGCCATTATTTAATTGTCAACCCAATATTATATGAATTATTATATTATTATTTAAATATAATTAAATATATTTATTATATAAATATTAATTATATTGTATATAAATATTAAATATGAAATATATTATAGGTTTTCCGAAAAGTAATGTAGCATTTTAACCTCAAAACTGAAACAAATAAATTTGTCAAACAAATTTTTATTATTAATCAATAATTAAATTAATTAATTTATTTAATTACCAACCTTTCTCTATCTGGTATGTAAAATTTGTTAAATTGTAACGATAAAAATCATCAAACGGTTTTTTCATTTAAAATATTAGAAATAATTTGACATGCGTAGTAACGACGCCATTACTTTTCAAATCCCCCTAATATTTATTATATAAATATTAATTATAATATATATGAAATATATTTATTCTATAAAATTTAAATATTTTAAACGCGAAAACAAAAGGGGAAAAAATATAAAAACAAAAATCAACAATTATAATATGTTGGTAGGAAAATATCATTATGCTTTAGGGAGTATTTATGCATATCATCATATCGATCTCCACCGTTTTACCTTTAGTCGAGAAAATACGTGATAGGAGAATTCCAACTGAACCAAATACCCGGTTATATATATATATATATAGTATATCCTATGATATATAGTATATCCTATGATATATAGTATATCCTACGTGCTTGTGTCTACATTTCTATATTCATCTATACATACCTACATATCTACATACATACACTACCAACCAAAAGTTTATTAATCCTTAAACAAATTGAAATAAAAAATAAAACTCAACCATAATAATTGAACTGGCCTATAAAATAACTCCCATATTAAATATATTATACATACACATATATATGTATATATATATATATATATGGTGTTTTATAAAAACCATCAAACAATTTCAAACTTTTAGTTGATAGTGTATGCAAAAAAGTAAATAGAAGTGTGAGAAATTGTGTGTGTGTGTGTGTGAGAGAGAGAGAAAGAAGAACAGATGAACCAGAAGATTTTGGTGTTGATGGTGATGGTGCTGGAATAGGTTAAGGGTGGTGTGTTGGGTGTTGAAGGGATGAAAACCCCTCGTGGGTGGTCGAGATTCGTGTGGAAATCCTTCGTAATTACAGGCACCATCCAAACCTCCTCCTCTTTCTCCCCTTAATGAGCAACCCAAGGGCTAATTTCGTATTCCAAGGAGAGAATCTACTACCAACTTTTCTAGGATAACTACGAGCATCCCTAAGATTACTCCTTATATTTACAACTAAATTCTCATCTTTCTTTCCTTCTTTCTTTTTCTTTCTATTTCCTTTTTCCATTTGTTTATTCTAAAGTATTGTATAATATTATGGTATTAAATTAGACTACAAAAAAGAATATATGTATATATATATAATATTTTGTATATTATATTATACAAAAATATTATTTATTTACTAGTACAACTTATGGGATTCAATGATAAAATTTATGGAAACAATAACCACATGAAATAAAATATATTTAAATGAAGAATAGAATGAAAGCATAGATACATTTTTTTAATTCTTATGCTAGAAAAATATTTGAAAATGTAGGAAACATCATCAAGAAAAATAATACAAAGAATACTACTACCCCGACTACTACTACTACTACTACTACTACTACTACTACTACTACTACTACTACTACACAAGTCGATAGACTTCTCGTTCGAGTACCACCATTCAAGTACACCCCCTTTTCATGGAAAACAAATGTGACCATCGCCCTTTCAGTACTCGCCGCGAAACCAACGGCGAGTTAACGTGTACCGGATCGTGTTCGTAACGCAAACATGCCACACACATACACACACACATACACACACATGGTAATGGTATAGGAAAAGGAATGGGAATGAAGATGGAAAGAGAAAGAGTAAGAGAAAGAGAGAGAGAGAGAGAGAGAGAGAGAGAGAGAGTTAGAATGCATTTGCGATCCCTCTGGAAAACCGACAAAGCTGGCATAGTAAATCACTCTTGGTCTGCCTGCCCAACTACCCTCCCCCTCATCCTCATCACCACCCTCTTTACGACCGACCCATATCCCACAGGGAAACAAAAAAAAAAGAACCTTCTCCTGGTCATTCTTTATATTTTATTCACGTTTCATTTCATCCTCGTCTGACTGACTACTATGTGTGTACCCTTTTTTGTTTCTACAAGTACATATATATATATATATATATATATATATATATATATATATAT